GTAATATCTGTTGAACTGTGCAAAGCGGGCTGTAAAGAGCTGATAGGTTGTACATACCAGCTGTCGAGCTTTTATTTGATTAAAACATACATACATACATACATATCTCAAGTTTGATTAATCAGTTTACTTCGCTCAATCCACAAGAAGACGGCCCTACTGTTTGCTACAATTAGCGCGAAATAAGCCCTAGTATTGCTAATAAGGTCCTATCGACGATAATGTGTGAACGACTGAAGCAATTAATGAGCTAAATGATTGGGTTTCATTAGTTTAACCAGATTTGGATAGTGCGACGGATGCCGGTACGGAACCATGAAAATATAAATTTGGGATTCAAACAAAGCTAATACGGCTTTGTAGAGCGACGCTTAGCAAAACCTTTAGATCCGTCCTAATTGAGAAAGATATCACTGGGATGTGCGAAAACAAACGAGTTTTAGACAAATAAACTGTTGTGCGACTTCTTGAAACTGATGTTGGCAAGCGTAATACAAGCTGTCCACCTGAATGGCAGCGTCATCACATGCATATAACAATATTTACCACTATGCTGCTGTCATATACCGATGATAATGAAATTGTTGGGTTCAACAGCAAGGATTAATGCGAGCATATATGTACATTTCTCAAGTAGGTTTTAAAATTTATTTTCCCTTCAAACACATCTTTTGTGGACAATTTTTTTTTTTTAACGGTTTAAGGACTGTCAGCGCTTCTCATGGAGAAACTTGTGTCAAAAGATAGAAAGCTCTTCCGAGGCCAGCATACTACGTAAGATACTATCAACGTGTCCTAGCAAAATAAGTTACCTCATCAAGGAAGATGGGGATTGGACAGCTAGCAGCGAAGAAACATTATAGCTTCTAATACAAACGCACTTTCCGGGTTGCCTCTGGAGAAAGGTTACCAACACTTTATTATTGAGGGGAACATTAAACAGCTTTCAACCGTATAAGTCTCCGGGACCTGACGGAATCATTCCCGCCGACCTACAGCATACAGCAGGAATGATTGCACCCATACTCCTTTCCGTCTTTGTGGCAGCGTCACGTCTTAATTATATACCCTACAAATGGGAGGAGGTAAGAGTAGTTTTCATTTCTAAAACAGGATGCGTACAATAAAGGAAGAACAATTGAAACAGCACTCCACTCCCAAGTGAAAACAATTGAAAGATCACTATATTATAAAGAATACACCCTCGCTGCCTTCTTGAACATCGAAGGTGCCTTAAACAACGTATCTCCTGAGGCGATTATCTCATTGCTGGTAAATTTGGGTGTAAGCAACTCATCATCCTCGTTTATTGAACGAATGCTAACTGGACGTGAAATAAGCGCAGAATTAGATGAATTGCAAATAAAGAGATTCCCGGTAAGGGGTACGCCCCCGGGTAAATACCTCTCAACATTATCGGATTTGATTCAAAGATCTCTTAACAAACTATCACTATGGTGCAACAGGCGAGGACTGGGAATAAATCCTGAAAATACAGACTTAGTGCTCTTCACTAGGAAGCACAAGACACCCAACGTCGATGCTATAACTCAAGAGGGGAATACCCTTGAAGTAAAGGAAGAGACAAAATACCTAGGTCTCATACTAGACCCTCGAGGGAAGAGTGGAAACGAGACGCTCTAAGGAGTGGCGAGTCTATCCATGTATAGACAGATGGCCCAAAGCTCGAGGGGGTGTATACTTCGAACACTTGGGAATCCCCTTTAGCGTTCGTCTTGCGGACCACTGTAGCGTCTTTAAAGCGGAACTGATGGCAATCGACCGAGCCACAAAACTGGTAAAGTGTGATATGATATCCCAAGCTAATATCTACATACATCTTCATTGACAGCCAGGCGGCAATCAAATCCCTTACGAAGCAGTCGACAACCTCCATGGTAGCCATGAAATGCCGCACATCTCTTAATGAGATGGCTGAGTCAGCCGACAGGTGATATAGGTTCCGGGACACTGCGACATTGAAGGGAACTGCAAGGCCGATGAACATGCGCGACTTGGCACCAAACTCCCTATTGAAGATATAAACGATGCAATAGGAATACCTCCGAGAGGCTCACTAAAGGAGCGAACAGCAGGTGGCATGACGAAATTACCTGTAAAGCTGTCAGGAAACTATGGCCAACTACTGAGCTTAAATAAGCAGAATATCAGCTCGTTAGTATCTGTTATAACAGGACACTGTCTAATTGGCAGGCATGCCTGTCGACTATGCGTCTGGCTAAATGACTTCTGTAGAAGTTGTCAAGATGAAGAAGAGGAGGAAACGATTCTGTACCTGTTGTGCCAGTGCCCTGGTCTATCCAGAAGAAGACTTTCCGCACTGGGTAGACAATTCTTTGATAACCTGGAGGACCTTAGATGCGTTGAAATCAAGGATCTTCTAAAATTCCAGCGAAGCTCAAAAGGGTTTTAGGAGGGATTGGGAGCTACTGACGCCATATGCGGTATCACAATGGGCCCGGAGTCTAAGTCTGTCTTACAGACAACCGCGACAACCTACCTATTAACATTGCTTAATCAACTTCTCTGCTCTTGGAGCATCGTCAATTAGGGTATTGACATTGGCGACGATCTGTATTTCAACTTGCGTTAACGAACCGGGAGTGTGCATCTTCAGAAAAAGATGGTACTTATTTCTCCTAGTGGATTGCAGGTGGATTCTTTGATCGTTTTTTGGAGCTCAATTCCTTTTATTGAGCCCTTTAATATAATAGCACCCTACATTTGCCCTGAGCCAACTTTTCTGCTGGAATTACTCACGCAAACACGATTTCTATGTACAATGCGCGCTGATCTGGCAAATACAGCACGGGCTCCTCTTCGAAAGCTACTCAACGGGTTTATTATTGAGTCACAGGGTCATGACGGCATCCAGGGGCGGATCCAGCGGGGGGGAGGGGGTTTTGGGGGCTAAACTACGTGCCAGTCAGTGGCGGACCCACGGGGGGTAGTTTAATACATAGACGCTATATTATACATACATATGTGACATATTAAAACACACCCCGTGCGTCCGCCACTGACTGACACGTAGTTTAACACCCAACCCCCCCCCCATGGATCCGCCTCTGACAGCATCATTCCCGCTGATCTACACAAAACATTTAACCAAACCTTTTCATATATTACAAGTGTTTAGCCGAGTTTATAACACCGTTTATGTAGTACCTCTTGATGTTATAAGCGCAAATTATAAAAAAAAAATATTTTTGATAAAATTTGGTGAACCCTGCTCGTTTAAGCAAAAACTTTCCAACTTAGAATCTAACAAAGAGTTTCTTACTTTCGCGAGTTGTTAATGTCTACGCCTTCTTCCATTTCCACAGCAAATGTTATCCGATTTTGATGAAATTCAGAGTATATGCTGGTTTTGACCAGAAAGGCATGAATCTGAAAGAACGTCAATTCTAGAAAAACAAGCGCAAATTATAAAAAAAATCTTTTTGATGAAGTTTGTTGTACCCTGCTCGTTTACGCCGAAATTTTCCAACTTAGAATCCAACAAAGAGTTTCTTATTTTCGCGAGCTGCAAATGCCTACACCTTTTTCCATTTCCACTTCATATTATATGTACATATCAGAGTTGTTGTTGTTGTAGCAGCATACAAATTCCCCAAAGACTTTTTGGGGAGTGTTGCTGGAGTGACGGTCCTTGGCCAGATATAAATCTGGGTCGTTCCGGTTACGTAGACCCGACTGTCGTGGGAACGTACATATCAGAGTCTTTTCCGTCAGTTCTACAATAAAAATTCAATAAATTCTACATGAGGTGTGCTAAAAAAAAAGAAGAATAGAACCTGAACTCGCAGTTTCTCGCAGCTGGAAATATTTCAGATTAGACACTCATATTTAATGTTAACTTGTGCTAAATATAATTCAACTCGCTTTCTAGGATATTTTAAAATCCCTTTTTAAAATAAGCACTCGAAAAATTGTATACCAACAAAATTATGTAGAATTTCAAGTGAAACTGTTTTATAAATTTCACTAGGTACATATACATATATCTATATAAAAATTTAAAGCAATGCTTGACCACAGATTTATTAAGGCACTGGTCATCAATCAGATTATTATAAATATATCCGCACAAGTAGAAAATTTATATACATAAATTACTTGAGACAAAATTAAATTTTTTATTTTTTTCAATGTATCTATTTCAAGCTCGTCCCATGACTGCAAATATGCATTTTTATCGAAAATTCTTTTTGGTTTGGGTTAGTTGGACATTGTGCGGCGTCTTGTAAATCATATATCTTCATATACTTACTTACATATATACGGTGCCGAAAATATAAATAGAGAAGAAACATTTTTAGCATTTAGCGTTTTAGTATATTAGTAAGTATTATATTTTTTATGAAAGTGACCGTTATATAACAAAAACCACGTAAGTCAACTTTGTACAAAAATTGGCGAAATTTGGCAAATTTTAAGTAAACAGGACTTACCGTTGATTTTCACAATAAAAAAATTGTGCAACATAATTTGTATGGAAGAAAATACGCGAACAAAAAATTGACAAAAATTAACGGTATGTCCTAGCTACTTCAAGCATGTACTTCATTATACTTAAATTTCAAAAAAAAAAATCTTATTAAAAAGTTTCAAAGGTTCAAGTTTCAAGATTTTCATTTACATGGATTTTTTAGATAGTAAGCTACAAATCGTCACCTGAAATGCAAAAAGACGTAACAAACAACGCCGCTGAAATACAAAAAGTCGTAACTAATAAAAAATTCAAAATTCAGTTTTTGATTGATATGATGGATTTCCCCGAATTACAACTCCCACATCATTTAATGAATTAAATAAAAAAAATTTGTCACGACTTTTTCCATTTCAGGTGACGACATCTATAAAAAAAAAATATAAAAAAAAAAATTTTTTTAAACAAAGAAAAATATCCAAAACTTGCTAAAATGTCTCTTCCCCTATTTACATTCTCGCCACCGTATGTACCCTTTTCTACTCACTTGTGATGGCTGCGTGGTGTCAATGTCATTTAACGGTATGTGTTTGTAGGCGGCATGTGTAGATGACAACGATATCTTGCCAGCATCTAGCGGAGACGTTGGCGGTGGCGATGGTGTCGTTGAATGTGCAGAGTTTGATGAAAACACAGCCGAGTTGGGTGTTGTTGAAACGACGCCGTCAGGTTGAGTGGGCGGTGTTGTGGCGGTCATTCTTGACGGTGTTGCAATCGCATCGACTAAGCGCATAGAATTATAAGTGCATGGAGTTAAAATTCATATATCTACATATGTATTTAAGTGGTTTATGCGAAGCATTTTGGCATTCGCTAACTCACCTGGTTTAGGCGGCAGTTCAGGTGGTGCAGCTTCGTTTCTGCGAAATATGGCGCTATTCGCCGGTATGTTCTGATATTTGGGCTGGCTCTTTGGTGGCGGTGTGGGGGCTGTTGTCACGATTTGTACTTTTGGAAATTGTCTGTCGATGAGTAGATGAGGCGTGGAGGTTTGTTCCTTTAACCGAGATTCGTTTGTTTTGTTCTTTATATTGGGGGTGTGCACCAAGCTGTTACTATTGTTCTGAGGCGTATTAGTGTGTTGGTGGTCTTGAGTAGCATAGCCGTTTAAGCCAAAAAATTTCGATTTAGCATCATTTAATGCTGCTTTCACCGCGGCTATACTCTGACTGGCTTCGTTAAGTTCCGATTGCGAGTGCTGACTAAGCGGTCTCTGTGCTGCACTTGCATTCCGAGCCGCTGCTGCAGCCGGCGCCGTTGGCGTGGCCGTAGTTGCAATTGGCGTTAGAGCTGGCATTGCAATTGACGTGTTCCCGTGCGCTTGTGTTGTTGATCGATGATTATTGCTGTTAGTGTGGTAGTTGTTATTGCTGCCGCTGTTTAATACTGGTGTTGTATTTATTGCAAATCGCAGTGTTGGTGTTGTCTGGTCAGTGAAGTTTGACGTCGCCACCGATTGCTTTGCCGGCTGACTTAAGCACGGAAGCGTTGATTGCTGCTGTAAAAGCGGTTGTTGTGACTCTCGATTTGTTAGCTGTTTATTGTCATTAAACTTGAATGCAATCTCGGCGTAAATGGGTGAGCTTGTTGCTCTATTCGCTGCGTTAGTTTCTGTTGGTTTTGTTGCTGCACCGCGTGCTGTTAATGGTGGTAATGGTGACGCAGTTGGCGCTGCTACTGTATTAACACTTTTCACTGCTTTCGGTGTGCTTGTGTGTATGCCAGTCGGCGGTGTTTTTAAATTGTCGTAGACACTCACTGGCCTGTCGTCATACACTTCCATATTGGGCTGAGTGTATGATCGTATTGGCCCGTTTTGTCAGGTTCCCATGAAACCTTCCGCATACATCTAAGCTCATATATATTTTCCGCTTTTCGTGTTTTTTGATGTGTAGGTATGAAAATTATCTCAGCTCATTGGCGTGCACTGAGGTATGAAGCTCAAAACAATTGCATGTGTGTGGAGTGAATGCTGGAATGTGGAAGTAATACAAAGCGATTAAATTGATAATACTGTTTTTGTGAAAGCATGAATTATAATAAATAATATGATTTTCCTAAAAAAAAAACGCAATGACACAAAGTTTCAAGCACACGCACACACTTGCTACTGGCATAACACAATTTTCAGGTTAGTTCCGCTTAAAGTGAACGATCTAAGTACATACATACATAGGTTTTAGCTTAACACCAAAATTCATAACAATTAAGAAGACTTTTAATGCTTTATAGGTCGAACATTTTTATGAAAATGTTCCTTTATAAAGCTCTTTAAATCTGTTTTATTTTTTATGAATAATCCCATACATCAAGGTACCCTGCAAACCAAAGTTCCCGAAATCTTAACGAAATCTTTAGGAGTATCTGATTTCTGTAACGATTTTTTTCCGAATCTTCAAAGAAAATTATATGAAGTGGTTGACACGAACTCGTAAAGAAATTTCTGTACGAAAAATAAAGAAAATTCTGAAAAAAGTCTGCAAGAAATTCTTCACATAGCAGCATTATTTTCATTTCTTCACCGATTTTCTTCCGAAATTTCGTAAAAGAATGGAAGTGTGCGTAATTTATTTCATTTTAGAAAATTCGGAAAAAAACGGATGGGATCTTTCCGAATTCGTTAAAATTTCTTTACGATTCAGAATACTCTGAAAAAATGGTTTGCAGGGTTTCTATTTATTTTGTATACATAGTAGCATGCAGAGTAAAAGCTCTCTCCGCCCATCGCTGATGTAGATCTAGTATAATATTGAGCTTTAATCACAAAAAAAAATCTAAGCGAATTTTTTTTAAATTGTCTTTTCAATGCAGAAATGCATCCAGATGCTCAAGGAACACTTCTGCGTGAAGCATAAAATGTTGGAAAAAATGTCGCCTACTTTTTTTTGGCAGTTAGGGCTGGCCTTAGCAGCATTATAATAAATGTTTCGTAGCCTAGTAACTTAAAAACGAACAAACCGCCAGCCGCGCCGCTAAAGGGCCCGGGCTTTGAGATCTTAAGTCAGACGTCTGAGACTTTTAAGATAGCTTTACTATGAATAGCAGACCTCTCGCTATAGGTGATACCAACAACCTTAATATACATAGGTTGCTCCGAACTTAAAAGGGGAATTGAATGATGAGTATTCTCACCTTAATTCTCCCCAATCACTGCATCGTATATCAAGCGGAACTGTTGGGCTTCCGTGACACAGCACGAAGCTTCGTTCAAATATCTACAGTGAGGAATGCCAGTCTTTATGTTTTATGACGGTCTTTCGACTATAAATGATGCAGATCTATGAACGAAATGTTCCAGCTATATAGAGCTCAAATAATGGATCTCTGCCCATAGTCGAATTATCAAGAAAAGCCACAACTTGCTATGCGGAAAGAACACGATAGATGTGCCGATTGCAAAGTTTTAGTCGTTTGATAGAGATCACATCGCTCTAGTGACCACGGAACGGTGAAACAATCATCCGTTCACGCACCCGACCGTTATCGTAGTTGGAAGAACATGGAAAAAGAAAAAAAGATTTACTAAATCTTGTATAAGCATTCCCGGATTTAAATTTTTCTAACTCAACCATTTCAATTCCGATTATCATTTCACTGCCCTGTATTTTGCAGTACGCGCCTAAGCTGAATTAATATATCAGGTAGGGCTGGAAATGGCTCCAAAAATTACCGGTTTTAGGTAATGTTATGTAAGTGTTTGGCCGAGCTTCTCCGATTTATGGCATGAGCTTTAATTACAAAAATTATTATTTCAAGGAACTTTTGATAAGGAAAAGGTAAAAGCATATATCAATTCGTTGATTCGGAATTATCTCGGGAATTAACTTGAGTTGATCTGAATTAAGTTCTACATCTAAAAGCTTAAACAGACGGTAGCGTTGATCCGGACTAACTCGGACTTAATCCGGATCAACTGCAGTTAATTCCCGAGTTGATCCGGATCAACACTGCCGTCTGTTTTTGCTTTAATCCTCAAAATTAATACTGATCAGGGGAATTTTTCGTCTATTGCTCAAGTAAGCAGGTTTGGCATCGGCGATGGTGAGAGCTGCGTACTATAATTCCCTAGGTCTCAGGTTCTATCCCCGGTTCGAGCGATTGCTGAAAATATATATTTTTTTATTATTTATTATTATGTTATATGATTTATGTATGTGTTTTATTCTACTTTGATTTGTTTTATTTTAAATTATTTAATTTAATTTTAGCTTAAAGTATGGTCACAAGAAATTAATAAGATACACATCTTTTAAATTATAAAGAATATGACAATATCAGTGTCAAATAAAAGGCAAACGAAAGTATTTTACAATCATATTTTTACATTTTTACAATATTCACATAAAAAGTCTTAAGTTTGTTTCTTTATAATAACATTTTTGTTTCGTTGAAACTCGAATTGCATTTCAGAAAAAAATTAGTTTTAAAATTATATGTAAGTATTTAAAAATAGTTCAGAGCATTTAGTATTAAACTTTCGAACTATTTTTTAATGTGATTGAATCTGGAGTCCTTTACTCAATTAGGTTTATAAAAAAATATTAGCTTGAGAAAAAACTGGAGTCAAAAGCGTTAGTTTGTGGTAAGTATCAGTTTAATTATATAATTCAGCGTGCAGCAGATTCATCTCATCAGGCTGAAGTTTTTGTTTTTACTGCCTTTTCTTTGTAAACTTAATTCAGATATTATCGGATCTGATCACGGCAAAAAACAGTTTAAAATGTCGAAATAAATCTAAATTACTTATTTTGTCATTTTAAATTTATAACTTTCCGTTTGACAAACATCCATCTACTATCTATGTATCTATATATTATCTATATATATAAACTTAAATGTTTTTGCTCCGAAACCGATAACGCCACATTGGTTTCGTCATTTGAATTTAAAAAAAATCTGATATCACATTCGAAATCAGCGATCTCGAAAATTCCTTATTTATATAAGTTTGTGGAGAAAAGGAAAAAATTATAAAATCTGGTAGCCATATTGGATCCGCCATTTTAAATTCCAAAAATCTTGCATGGGATTCGAAATCAGCGAACTCAAAGGGGTTCTCTAACTCAATTTTGTTACTTCTGGACTTCTGAACAGCAAATGATAATCGCCAGACAATAGTGCAGTGGTACAAACACAAATGAAAAATTTGAATTTTTCCATTAAAAAAAATCTACTACTAAAACCATAAAAAATAAAAAAAATAAAACTTTAAACAATTAACATCTTTAATTCATTAGGGTAGTTATCAGCGTTGCCACTAACAATATTTTTTTTTCGCTACCAATTTTCTTCCCAAATCCGACCAAAATCGTTTACAACGTACCAAATAAATTTCAATTGNAACTTCTGGACTTCTGAACAGCAAATGATAATCGCCAGACAATAGTGCAGTGGTACAAACACAAATGAAAAATTTGAATTTTTCCATTAAAAAAAATCTACTACTAAAACCATAAAAAATAAAAAAAATAAAACTTTAAACAATTAACATCTTTAATTCATTAGGGTAGTTATCAGCGTTGCCACTAACAATATTTTTTTTTCGCTACCAATTTTCTTCCCAAATCCGACCAAAATCGTTTACAACGTACCAAATAAATTTCAATTGCAAAAAAACATTCTGAAAGCATACAATTCATTTATTTAAGAATAAAAACTTTGAATACAAAACTTTGTACATAAATTTAATTAAATAAATAAATTAAATTAATTAATTAGATTCTTGCAAAACCTCGATGTTTAACACCTTACTAAATATATATCAACATAAGTTTTGGAAAAATTACAAAAAAAATGTTGATTCGCTTATTTCATTAATAGAACCCACAAAAAAAAATTAAGCGAATCGAAGACATGACATAATTATTTTTACGAAATCCGTCCGACTTAAAAAAGAATGGCTCATATGCAAAATGATGTTTGAAATATATATTTTTATAATTAACTATTGAAAAACTTAATTCATCTTAATCTTATTTTGCCGACCAACCTACCAAATGAAAAAGAAGCGATCAAATTTGGTCGGAAAAGACCAATAGTGGCAACACTGGTAGTTATTTAAATGCCGCGCAAATATGTATGTACGGGTATATTCTACCATTCTCTAATCTAAATCCGCTAATTTCGTACACTTATTGCTAGCCGATTGATTGTGAGTGGCGCATTGCTTTCTTTGCCAAATAAATTGTAAACATTATCTAATTGTTTAGCGCAAAAAACGACTGCATAGTGAGTGAGTGCTTACAAACATTAGTGTGTAAATACATTAGGGCGGGTCAATTTGTATGGAAGATTTTTTCGACTATTCGCGTATAGCACGGAAGGACTCTACGTTTAATTCTAAACAAATTTTCTCAAGAAATCATGGGTTTAAAATCATTTTGAAGTTAGCCAAATTGCGCAAATTGCATTTTGCTGCAGTGTTATAAAAAAGTGCTTAAATTTTGTATAAAAACATACTATAAGGGGTTTTATGGTATACGGAACCCATTTCTGCACTTATCTTCTTCTCAAAACTTCCACCAGAGGGCGCAACAGTGAAAATTTTCATATTTTCTTAGAAACCTGTTTTCGCAACTCCAAATTGATTTTAGACTCATAGTTTCTGCAGCAAATTTTCTTAAAAACACACGTAGAATCCTCCGATGCTATAGGCGCATAGTAAAAAAAAAATTTACCCGCCTTAACGTACATACACACGAGCACAAGACTATGTACAGAAGCTTATTAGAATCGCTTAACCCCTGCAGGAAAAACCTGATACGGTAAGTTAAAACATGCATCCGAAACTTAACAATTGAAAGGCAAAAAAAAATCCCTATAGCGCGCAATACGACGATATATAATCTTCGGTGACCCCTATTAAAATGTTCTGATTAATATTTTCGCTCCCAAATACATTGCGTCAAAAAGACGCATGGTACGAGTTTTGTGGTTAGAATGTTCTACGAAAAATTCGCTCGCTAAATTTTTCTGCAGATCTCCGAAACAATGAATTTTGTACGA